CCCAACTCATTTACTGCATGACTAGTTCTCCTTAATAATATTTCTGTTTGACAAAGACTTAAATCCATATTTTAACCTTGAGGATTAATTGCAGATGAAAATCTGGTTAATGTTTGCTGTGGTCCGCTCGGAGCTCTGACTGGGTGGCTCCTGCAGTTTCAGGATAATGGGTGTGTTAGAAAGTTCATGTTGCATATCATGCAGTTGTTTACACCATAATCTCTGCACATAATGTGACATTAGTGTCCCACAGACCATTTATCTGCCATTATCTGAACTCACAGTGAAGCAATGTGGAGGAGACCATGATCATGGACATATTATTCCTCACTCTTAAATCTGTATTAGAAGCCTTTCTCTACCTTTAATTTATTTATAATAATTTGACATCGATTTATCTGGTTTTTATTTTACTGATAATAAATATAAGAATTCAGTGACCTGGGATTTGTGTGTTTCCGTTTTTAATTTGATGACAATTGTTCTCGTGTTCTGCGTTAATCCTCATTTCCTGTTCTCTGGGTTTTATCTGCAACGGATTCATTTTCTGTTATTTAATTTATTTAGTAAATATGACTAAGTCCTTACATAAATCGCTTTACAGTTGCTCAATGGCACCTGAGTAGTTGATGCAGAGCAGAATATTGGTTACTATAGCTGCAGGTCTGTGCGGGATTAGAACTACCACCTCTCCAGTCAAAGGTCGATCTGTCTAATCTGCAGCAGCTGAAGCTTTTTATTTACAGTCTATGAGCTGTAGCTTCTGATGTGGAACTTCAAAGAGCTTCTTTACTCTGAATGTCTTCTGCAGAGTGATTTGTTCTGCTGACACAGGAACATGTTCATTCATCTTACACCAGCATTTAAAAGCTGTTTGTTTGAATTTAAATATGCCAAATCATTTGTGTTGTATGAGTGAATGTATCATAAACAGTTTTCTTTTATGAGAACGGGAGCCTGAAATCTCAGAGCACGTTTTCACGACGGAAAATCAGACAGATTGTGTCATTGTTACATTTTTCACATTTGATCCAGTTAGTTTTAGTTTCCCATTGTAAAGTATGTGCTGAATAAAGACTTTTATATGTCATGCGTACATCCTGTCGTCATCACATACACAGGGTGTTTACCTGTGCTTGACATTGATTGGTTTGTAAATGGACGTGTGTCTGACGTCTGCATGTTTGAATAGAGAAAATTAACAAACTGGATCATATCTTTCATTTTGTTGCCACTATTATAGCATTCCTACCAGCATCATCACCTTCAGGCTCAGTACTCGACACTAGATCAAATGAGCCAAATGAACGTTGTTGCTCTTCAAACATTAAATCGTCAGATGTAAAGACTCTGGTTCTAGAGAAACCAGTAAGGCCTCTACTTCTTCTTCTTCTATTGTTTAAATTAATTGGTCTGAAAGTATGAACTATCCACAAAAGTTCTTCCATACTGCAAGCAATCTGAACCAGTTTGATCCAGACTGAAACCACATCGGAACATGTTCCGAGGCAACCTTCACACCTGAAATGTTAAGACTAAACTGAAAAGTTAGACCAAACAAGGCAGGTGGGAAGCTGAGTGAACGTCTTAAAGCTTTTGAAAGCCTGGGATGTATTTTATTTATTCCTTTCAGAAAGTTTTTTAATTTAAAGGATTAAACTGAATCAGAATGATCATGATCAGTGGGAATAAAACTTTTCAGAGGAGTAAACTTTAGAAGATAATTGTTTTGAGCTAACATTGTTAACGTTGTTCAATCATCTCTGGGCAGCAGTGAGCAGGAGACATTCAGGGCTATTTCATCTGAAGCTTCTCAACTGAATCCAGACAGTCAGTAATTACTTAGCATTCTCCATTCAAATTTTTCATTCAGAGTAAACAAAGTCATTGGAATCTGGCTCCGGTACACACTATATCTTCTTCCTTCTTTCCTTTCCTCTCTGCCCCTCATCTTGGGCTACAGCCGACAGTCTTGGCATGTCGTGCTGAGAGCACATCATCGCTGCTTAAGGCAATGAATCTCAGAAGACAACATGTTGTAGAAACAACCTTGGGTGGCAGCCACACACACACACACACACACACACACACACACATCCCACGACATGTAACCATGTTTTTTCTCAAATAATTGCAGAGGACCTCTGAGAGAAGCAATGATTGCAGTGGGTGAAGTGAGCCAATAAAATACATTACCTGCCAAATGTACGTTATTCTTGCATGTGTTACAAATGTGTACGTCCTGTGTGTAGCTCAGGCTCATGTGGAGTATTACTTCTTCTTGCAGTGAGTTTAAGTGTAAGTCTTGTACAAAGCAAAACTCAGCGTTTCCTGTCAGAATCTATCACCTCCTCCAAGGAGGTTGTTCTCTTCCTACTGTTGCTGGGTTTGTTTTAATTTCTGAGGAAATAATATATGAATCTTAACAAAATCTGGTGCCATTGTGGTTTAAATCATTTCATTATTTTTAAGTATGGTTTGTCTTTCTTTTTTGAGACAAATTCATAACTTTTGCTTAACAGCAGCTAGTTATGAGCACATCTCTCAGAAAATTCCTTGGATTTGTTGCAAAAAATCGAAGTCAATACAACAGCCTGAAGAAACTGGCGATGCATTGGGTGAGTGCATTTATTTATAACCAGCATGGCCATGAAATATATCTCCACAGCCA